ATGTAAAATTTTTTTCAGAAACTGGATTATCAAAGAATATAAATGTTTAAGAAATCCTATTTAACATAAGAAGTATATTTTAGTGTAAAGTTTAAAGTTGTATTTAAAATAATCAATCCATTCTCTTTATTAGTTTGGCAGATATTTTGTATCCTTAAACTATTTCAGAATCTTTTAAAATGGAAAAGGTAACATGGATATATAATATAAGCCATGTCATAACATTATTTTGTCACAAGAGGGACTAGATAGTCCGAAAGTACAGTTTTTCCCTTTGGTCTTAAGAATATTTCACTGTCATAACATTTATGTTTTACACAATGTTTATTCCTACAAGAGTATGTGTTACAGAGTGTGGTACTGTGATACATATTTCATATCAGCAAAAATCTTAAGATAAATACTAGTTTGCCATTTTACTTCTAAATGGATGGAGACTGTATAGAAATTATTTAACTTACTGAGCTATGGTCATTTTTTTGTTTAATTGCTTTATGGGAATAATTGTTTTAATTTTGTATTCGTGCTAAAAATTTTAAATTCTGAATGGCTTTTCACATATATTTATTTATTTTTCTTATTTGATTTCAAGATACAATGTGAGCACTTGAAACCAATCCCAAGTTTTAGAAAACGAATCAAAGTAATTACGGATCTATGGCTAGAGCAAAAACATTCATATCCACTTGATCAGTGGTTTTCAAACTCTGCTCTAAGCATCCTTAGCGGTTTCTGGAAGCCTCTTTCAGGGACCACCATATATGGAGAAGGGGGGGCACTTCTTTACAGGGACAGTTCTTCACTTAACATTTTAGGTATTGATCTCTTTTATAAAGCTTTTGTTTGTAGAAATAGTAAACTACAAATAGTTTGAAAGCCAATGGACAGGACTGATAGGGAATAATAGTAGAATCAGTTAAAATTTATAAAATGATTTCAGGTGTGTTATCTCGTTAGCTTTTCTCAGGCAATGCATGTCTTATTCATTACTGTATCCCCAGTGCAGAGAAAAACTAACAATGATTGTGCATAAAGCAATCAAATTTACTTAAGAAATAAGTGTTAAATAAACAAACTGGTCTGAAAGATAGGTAGAACAGGTTTTATGTAAATCTTATCAAAAAAGAAAGAGAGGGCGCCTGGGTGGCTCAGTTGGTTAAGCGACTGCCTTCGGCTCAGGTCATGATCCTGGAGTCCCGGGATCGAGTCCCGCATCGGGCTCCCTGCTCGGCAGGGAGTCTGCTTCTCCCTCTGACCCTCCCTCCTCTCATGTGCTCTCTCTCTCTCTCATTCTCTCTCTCAAATAAATAAATAAATAAAATCTTTAAAAAAAAAAGAAAGAGAAGCTCAGAATGACAGTCCTACAAATGCTTACACTATGGTTAAGTAGAAGAATCAAATAGAATCTAAGTCTTTCATATCCTGGTTCCTAATCAAATCTTGGGGAAAGAATGGAAGGAAAGAACATGGAATGAGGGAAGAAGGAAGGAAAAAAGAATTTATTTTGCTTCCCACCACTACAGCTGCCTCTTATTTGCTTGAGCAAAAACGATAACAGTAGGAAAGAAAGAAAAAATGCTATTTTCATTTATTTTACCTTTATTTTTGAAAAAATTGAATTAGTACTCTTTTTTTATTTAAATTCAGTTAGCCAAGATATAGTACATCATTAGTTTGCATTAGTACTCTTAACCAATAAATGTTCTGTTCTAATTTATAAAGATGCATGAGACCAAAAGGAAAGCAGAAGTGTTACTTTTCCTGCCACCGTCCATTCCACAGGGGCTTTGAGAGGTCAGTTCACATGTGTGACACTACTCTTCTTCCCAGCTGCCATTTCCTTCCCCTTCTCACTAGTCCTTTAAATACCAGAAGAGGTTGGTTTTTCACTTCCTCTTCCTACAGGTCTGGAACTTCTCCTGAGCACTCTCCTCCACCCTGAGGTGGCTTCTATCTTACCCCTTTCCTGGAGTTCTGATGGAGGTAGTCAGTAAAGGAATTGAAAGATTCAAGGAATAAAAGATCATAGCAGTCTGATTTTTTTTAACATATATCAACAACATTACCCTCAGGCATAAGATCTAAATCACACAAATATATTCATATTTTATTGCTATGGTAGTAACTTACCTTGAACTTCTGGACTTACAACAACACTAATTTATTATCTTACAATTCTGTAGGTCAGAAGTCCAGTATAACCTCAGCAGTCATCATATGCCAATCTATACAACTTTTCTCAGTCTCCTTTCCAATTAGGTGCAGCCATATAATTGACTGTTAGCCACTGCATAGCCTCTAAAATTCTCCCTGCTAGCTGCTCTGTGCTCTCTTTCGCCTGATCTGCCAGCTGGCTACGGAAGAAGTCAAGAGGTCAGCGGGCTGCACTCCTTGGAGGCTCTAGAGGAGAATTCATTTCCTGCTCATTCAGGTTGTTGGCAGAATTCAGTCCATTTTGGTTGTAGGACTGATGTTCTTGTTTTCTTCTGAGAACTTCTAGAAGTCACAGCATTCTTTTTTTTTTTTTAAGATTTACTTATTTGAGAGAGAGAGAGAGTGTGTGCATGAGCAGAGGGGAAGGGGCTGAGGGAAAGGGAGAGGGAGAGAATCCTCAAGCAACTCCCCACTGAGCGCAGAGCAGACACGGGGACCCTGAGATCATGACCTGAGCAGAAATCAAGAGTCAGAGGCCCAAGGCTGAGCCACCCAGGCTGGCTGAGTCACCCAAGCACCCCTATTGTTCCTTGGTTCTTGATCCTTTCTTTCACCCTCAAGGCCAGTGATGGTGGGTTAAGTCCCTCTCAGAGTGAGGCTCTCTGACCAACCCACTCTTTTTCAGTCATCTTCCACTTTTTCAGACACTAGACTAGATTGCACCTACCCAGATAATCCAGGATAATCTTCTCATCTCATGGTCCTTTTTAATCCTATCTGCAAAGTCTCTTTTGCTAGGTAAGGTGACTTATGGATTCTGTGGATTATGGTGTGGACATCCTTGAGGAGACCTTATTCTTACTACAAGGAAAATAACTGCTTAAAATAAAAGTCTATAAATTATGCAAATAAAATAAAAAATATAAGAGGTATTTTTTCTTTTTTCCAACAATAATTATTTATATTTACATCAGAATACCTAAGCACAACTGATATGCATACTTCCTATGACTCTTCATCATTAATTTTATGCTAATTTTACAGGTAACATGTTTCTCCTTTGATTATCAAGTTGAATAATATGCAATCAATGTAGTACCAAAAAAAATCCAGAAGTACAAATGATAGACTTCACTTAAAAGGGTATGTTTTTCAGAAATTTGAAGAGTAGAGGCAGAGGTATGGCTAGGTTAAGGATAAGCACTAAATATTTTTTTTCCTGCATTTTCCCCCACTGATCAAACTGTTGTCTAGCAGACATCCTTTTAAGATCATATATATGATGCTGTCTGCATTGACTAACAAAACTAAGGGCCAACCTTCTGAATCAACAGAAAAGAAGGCTGAATTAGGTAAAAATAAACAAACAAATAACATAACATGGCCCTGTGCCCTATTCCTACAATATCATTTAGGGATAAGCTCCAAATCAGGTTCATGCCTATTTTTATCATCTCTGTCTACATAGTACTAAGCACAGTGCCTGGCATATATAAAGCATTAAATAAATATTAATTACCATCAAATTTATTGTTTTGATTACAATCAAGCAGTGTTTATGGAATGTTCTATGTGCAAGACACAGTAATAAAAATGCCCCATTTTCCATTATTCTCTATACTTCTCAGAGCTTTTAAATCAATTATTTACCTAATAATGATATAAGGAACACTGATTAGACCTTGTAGTTAAGGTAAAAACTTGGTGTCAATAAAAATGAGAGATTTTTTTCCTCCACTTATTGACATTAAATCATTACTCATCTGAGAGTACTTAATTGTAGGTTTTTGAAAGCAAAGGCTATGTTTGACTTATCAATCCCAAGACAGCCACAAAAACATCCTTACATACAAGTTACATAATAAATGATAATAAGGAAAAATCATATTGAAGTTTTCATTCATTTTTAGTACTTAAATTGTATAGTGTATATTGACAATCTAATGCAAGTAGTTAGAATAGAAGCTATTCAAAATATTCTGAAACAAATCTTTTTAATTCTTTAAGCTGTTGAAAACTGATTCTGTTGTCTCTATCTCCATTAAGAAGATTCAAAACTTCTCATAACTCCAAGGCCAGTGAAAGTTATGTTCTGAGAGTTCTGGGACCTCCCCTATTAGGATTTTGACTTGGTAGAACTAAGGGTTGGCAATAACAAAGCAAATTAAAATGTTTCTTCTTTCTCAAGAGAGAATTTACAAAACATACAAGCTGGAAGTTCTCTTGTTGGATTTTTTAAACTTCATTTTAATAACGAAGCTTATTTTTTCCAAATAACATTTGGCACAGAGAATATATAACAGACATAGACCACTGTGTACAAAGCTTCTCTGGGTAAAATCTGAGTGAAGACATGAGAAGCACACTTACTCCACATTCAGTGTTGGCATTAGCACATTTTCCTCCCCCAGAACGATTCTTCCCTGGAAGAACAGTTCTGAGTCAGAGACTGGGGAAAACCACTGACCTAGTGTGTCTTTCATTAACAGAGGAATACACCAACATTTGAAGAGAGAAAGGGACTTACCCAAACTAAACACTGAGCAGATTGGTATGCTGATAAGACCTGGCTTTTCATCAGCACTGTTTGATTTTGGATAAGTAATTTAATTTCTCAAAGCTTCAGATTCCTCAGATATAAAGTAGAGGTAGTTATACTCACTTTGACCAATGTTGAAAGGATAAGAGATAGTGTCCGGCACATAGCGGGTGCCGATGAATGGTAACTATCGTGTGTATTCCAACTCCCAGAGAAAGCCCCCAGATCTGCAAGAAATAAAAGAGCAAAAGTCATTAATTGATAACTTAGACTTTAGCTTAAAAATATTCTCCTTGGTTTGTTTCAGGAAAGTAGTAGATCATCCAAAAAGGCGATTTGGTACCCCCGTGGATCGGATTGGTGGAAACCGTCTCTCTAATTCCAGAGGCTAATTGATTCCAACCGTGAGTACAATTTGAGTATATGCAGCCTTCTGATTAACATCTCACAGTGGGCTCATTGATCCATCTTGATTTATAAATTGCCCTTTTACTTTCCTAGCTTATAAATTCACTGCTTCAATTCTTCTGTAATAATTAGTATATTGAGGCTAAGTAGCTTAAATGACACTAAAGAAGCAAAGGAATGTCCTAGATCAACTTCGCCATAAAATAGATTCAGTTATTCCCACAGATTCTTATATAATTATTGAATATTAATATGTGAACGATGGTTAAAATTCTAATTGATGTAATAAATCACCTTCATACATATACATAACTGTGTAGTAATCCCTCTATTATAAAGAAGACACATTTCAGTGACATACACCATTTTGTTACCAATAACTACATTCCCAGATTTATGATAACATGGAACAGAAGAGAGAGAATGGTGTAGCAGAAAGAGTATTAGCCATGGAATAACAACACCTAATCCAAATCCTAGCTCTGTCACTCCTTTGTTCATTATCCTGTTTCCATATCTTATTTCCGTACATCTTGTATATTTAGATAATAACATAGTAGTATTGTGAGAATTAAATTAGATGTGTATTGGGCACACAAGACATGCAAGTGATCTTAGATTACAGTTCTGAAAATTTACTCTGTGCTGGGCCCTATAATTAGTGCTATGCACATACTGCTTCATTTAATCATCCTGCTCCATAAAGTGGGTCTGATTACTGTCTCCAGTATCTTGAGAAGTAGTACAGTGTAAGAGGTAAAAGTGGCAGCTGCAGAGACCCGCTTTGTGGGTCAAATCGCAGTTCCTCTATCTGTTAGCGGTGAGACCTTGGTTAAGTTCTGAAATCCCCCTCCATAAAATGAGGATAATAATAAAGTTCAACCACATTACATTGTCCAGAGGACTAAAGGAATTGATACACATTAAACATTTAGAATAGTGTCTGACATGTAAGTGCTCAATTATTATTATTCTTATTATTATTATACAATATTGTATATTATATGGCATTGAGCTAGTGATGTAAGTAGCATTTAAATCCACAAGGTTTAAATTCTGAGCTCATATTTTCAAATATTTAGCCATATATATTATATATTTTAAACATGAAATGTTAAACATAAAATCTAGACAATGTATTTTTTCTCAGGAAAGCTTACCGAGGATTCATCCTCCCTCCCAAGCAGATGAGACAAACTGGAACTGTTTTGACAATTTCAAGCATGACTTTCATGCTTTTTATTTCTCTCAGTATGATCTTTAGACCAATGATGCAGAGTCGCCTAAAGCATCACATTAACCCTGAACCTCTCATTTTAAATCATGCCAGTTTGTTCTCTTCATCAAATGCCCTAAACCACAATGAGAAGTGAATATTTTACAACTTTCTTATTCTCAGAATGACTTAGTTAAAAGAAATTTTTTTTCTTTTATGGAGCTTTGATCGATGAAGTTATGAGGTTACTGAATGTCCACAAATATAAGAGGACTTAATGAGTACTGTGAAGAACAGTGCATTTTGAGCAGTACCATCTTCAAAATGCGGATTGAACTTTATGTCTAGAGATATACCAAGTATGGTCATTCTTCAGAATTGTTAAAAATCACCACATTTAATCTGAGTAAGACCTAACTAACTGCTATTAAAAACCAAGTAACTCCTTGAAATCAGGATCACAATCCTCCAGTTTCTTGATGTGTTGAGAACATTCTGACACTGAGATTAAAACAATCAACTTTGATTGTTTTCCACAAGTACTCTATTACCTTGGACGCCCTGGATTATCACCCATTCTAGTATTTCTGAATTAAACCAAAACAGGTTATGACTTAAAAAAATCATGCAGGAAACTAATTTTCATATAAATTTTCACATGAAGTTTTAGACCATCTAAACTCCAGATAGCCACTAAACTATGGAAAGGTATTTGAATTAATATAATGTTTCCTGAATCACTATGGGTGAAATCCAAATTCATATATTATGTCCTTGATTTAGTAGGCTTTGGTGAGTATGATGACAACCACTGTCCTTATTATTAAAGTTTCAAGACAGTAATATCACAGAAGAATAGGTTTAGAATAAAACTTAACATCATGTATTTTCTCTTTCCCTTTTGTCAATCATTGCAGGTGCTCCGGTCAACCATTAGATTTCTATTCATTATTTCCTGCCACTATGACCAAGATTTTTCAGATCCTTTTTTACTTCATCTTGTGAAGTTTTATGTTTTATAGTTTATGAATAATAAAAAAACATAAAAAATATATGTCTAATTTCCATTTAACTTTTCAAAATCATTTTCCGGTATATTGTTTCTTATTTTTTGGATTAAGTCACTAAATGATTCAAGAACATAGAGTCTCATTTAATCCAACCCTTTTGTTTTGTTTTGTTTTTTACAAATGAGGACATTGGGTCTGTGAGAGGAAATTGATTTGCTCAAAATTTTACAGACACTCAGAGCAAGAGCCAGAGCCCAGGTCTCTGGACTTCTAGGCCAGCGTTCTCTTCATGACCTATAACATCTTCAGGAGGTTAAGTTGTCATTGCTGGATGCCAACTTCTCGGCTTACACATTTCTAAAACAACCAGAGGCAATATGTTAGACTTTGTGAAAATCTTTATTCCACTTCTGTGGGAGTTAATGTATACTCTTTTAAAGAAGGTTTATTCGCGGGTTTTCACCTTCTGGGTTTCACTATAAGTCTTCACACTAAAAGTGAAACTAGTTCTAATTGTGGAAGTTTTGCGTGGTTTGAGTTTAGATCTAGATATAGCCACTGTATGTTACCTAGTTTCCAGAACAAATGTTAACCTCTTCTCAGTATGTGTTTTGAAAAGGAAGATAACCTGGTATTTGCAACAATGTCTTCCTCAAATCACTAACATATTAGACCACAATTTTGAGTTTTTTTATAGGCGTCAGCTCTAAGCAACTCAGATTCAGAGAGAGATTTTGTGTAAGGTTTCACAGCTTCTCTAAATGGAATTAGAAAGTTCTAGGTCTCTGCCATTGAAACCAGGATGTCTTCCTGATGAAATTGGGTAGACATAGGACTACTAATTATGCTACCCCTTGCTGCCACATGCACTAAGACTTTTAATAATGTAAGGCACATGTTGCTTATTATACTGACAATTTTTTTAAAGATTTTATTTATTTATTTGACAGAGAGAGAAGACAGCGAGAGAGGGAACACAAGCAGGGGAGTGGGAGAGGGAGAAGCATGCTTCCCGCTGAGCAGGGAGCCCGATGCGGGGCTCGATCCCAGGACCCTGGGATCATGACCTCAGCCGAAGGCAGACGCTCAACGACTGAGCCACCCAGGCGCCCCGACAATTTTTTTTTTATTTTAGACCAATATTGATGCACTATCACTCAAATATATTAACAGAACTCTCAAAGAGCAGAAAAATCATATTTAAATGGCAGTATTATGGTTGGTCCCTTTAAGTAGAGCAAAATATACAATAAGTATCAATGTGTTATCATAGCAATAAACAGAAAGTAATAGTTAGATTTTCTTTATTTCTTTTGTATGTCATGGCAATGTCCTTGAACCATGATTGAAAACTGAAAAGAAGTAGAATACAGCAGGTACCCAAAGAAAGGAACTGTGGCTTGAGCATAAGCACTGGCTTATACACTGAAGATGTCCTTTTTATTGTGTTTTGATCTGAAATTATCATTTTGTATTATTGTCTTTGCAATTAAAATATGTCCCAGGGGAAAAAAGCTATAATGAAACATGATGTAGAGTTTTAGCTCTTCTCAATTGAAGTTGATGGTATTCCCCTTATCTATGGAGTTCTCAGTAGCTTTAACAATTTCAACTTTCCTTTTTACAGACACGACTTCCTCTGGTGAAATGTCAAGAAACATGGAAGATGCTTCAGTGAAGTTCTTTACATTCATTAATGATTAAACATTTAAGGAACTGACCTTCTGCAAATCCTTTCCACAGTTTGAACTTCAGTCCATCACATCATAGTATTGTTATAACTTCAATTAAATTATGCAGACCATTTCAATGCATGAATTTTTTTAAATATATATTTTAGTTACCAGGAATCGTTACCTAGCTCCAAACCTTGCTTTTCTAAGAAACAATCAAAACACACTATACAATGAAATGCTTTCTATAGCATTTATCATTTACATTTATGAATAATAACTGAAGATTGATTTTTTCTGTACAACTTAGGTACAATATGTTTGCTTATTATTGAGGAACAAGGAAAGACAATGCTGTATATGTTCTTTTTAATATTTGACTTCTCTTATATCCTTTGTGAGCCTCTTGGGTAATAATTATGAAATTAGGCTTCTTTTAACATAGTCACATTTCAGTGAGGTTCAACCAAATAAAACATAGCCCCAGTTCCAGAAATAAAAGAAGAAAGATTTATAAGCAAGGAAAAAAACAGCAGTAATGAACCCATCAATTTTATTCTTCCAAAGAACTGAGAAAATACTTGTAGGTCAGAGCATATTGACAAAACTAGGAAATAAAGGATATCACTCATTTGTCAAGTTTGGAGGTCTCATGTCCCCTAATAACTTTTCTTTTCTCTAAATTACAACTGGTAGTTAATTAAGAGTGGCAGCGGCTAATTATGAGAACAACCACATAGGAGTAACAGATGAAATTATGGGGTAGGGCAAAGAATCACTAAGTAGTAAACCACTAGAGCAGTCTGGGGCTCATTAAATACACATAATTTTAGCACGGTACTTTTTAACACAGTACAATAAACCCATCATCTTGATGTTACTGACTCACCTAAGAAACTGTTTGATTGGTTTCATATACTGTATTTAATAAGGCAATTAAAAGTATAATATGTTTAAGAATAATGTCTTTAAAATGATTCAAATTATTTTTAATTGATCTACCAAAGCATAAAGTGTCATGTTCTGGAAAGTTCAATTCTCAACAATAGCTGTGATGTTACTGCAACTTAGGTACATAAGCCCATTATGCATTGAGTATGCTTTCAAAACACAAAGGTAACTTATTTCTTGAACCAGACATTTAGCACAAGTTAGCAAAAGTTCATAAAGCCTCTGGAAAACACTTCTTTAAACCCTGCTAATCACTGTCAAACAGACCTGATATATTGGAGGAAAAAAGTTTGGTCAGTAGGACAGATGTTTATTTTAGCATAAAAAGGAAGAATATATGAGAAGGTATATTCATATCACAAGGGGAGAAAAATGGATAGTTGTTATTTTTAACTAAAAAATGAATAAATGTATGATTCAAAGAATAAAATGAACTCAAAGAAACATGTGTATGAACGTGTTTCAGTGAACATGTATACTTAGAATACACAGTGGCTTTGTATGTAAATTCTTAGTTTTGGGGAAATTTTTCCAACTGCTGAAAATCTTCAAATTTAAGTTTAGGAAAAAAAATAAGTGAATGATTCTGTTAATTAGATACAACACTGTCAACTTGACCACTACAAGGCCATTTGATAGTCCATGCCAGGCAAAAGTACAACCGATTTGTTATTGTTCACAACTTAAACCTTAAGCATACAATAGGCAGAATAAATGCCACTGTTTCTTCATGCTTAAAAGAGCTACAATCTTCAAGCAGTAGTGAGTAGCTGTGTATCTTTTTTCTAGTGTTCTTTTTGTATCCAGAGAACAAACTTCAGGCACAGTATTTCCAAGAGCAGGCTAAATTTTGCTATAGCAAAGAGAAATTCTGCTATAGCAAAGAGAAATGAATTTTGAGAAAGCTAACCAATTCTGTTTTTCATAAACTTGCATAAGAAAATTAGCAGTGATACAGAGGCAAATATCCTGTAGGACTCACTATTTGAAGGAATTTTTTAAGAAGTTAGACCGTCTCTTGCCACTTTTCCACAACCTTCTGTTGAATTATAGGAATGTGTTCTATTCTTTGGAAGTTCTTTCTTGCCTTTATCTCCATCTGGATATTTGTAAGCTACGTTGGCCTAAAATTTTCTCATGGCGCAGGTTTAAGGTCGAATTAAACAAATTGATTTCCTAGCATCTTTATTTTTTAATGCAAAGTTATGCTTATGGCATTCAGTTTAATTAAAGTCAAAGGTCACAATATATGGATTTATAGTCTATTATAATGTATAATGCACTTATCTAATATATACCCAACTTCAATGAACAAAAAGAGAAAAATGTTTCCTCCACTTAAAACTATTTTATTTCATATACCACTACTTTATACAAAGTAGAAAATAAGTCAGCAGTACACTAGTTTGAAATAGGGCATTCTTTTAACACAGCAGGAAATTAAAACATAATTTCTGTTAAGAACGTGATGAGTCATCTCATTCATTTGTGAAGCTTCACAGAGCAAATAGTAAATATGGATTTCCATGTTCTGGAATCAATTACATAACCAATCTTTTCATGAGGGATGTTCATTCCTGATTACATCATTTTAAAATTTTCTCACTCTACAAAAAGTCTAGCAAATTCCACCTTTAATCTACAGATAGCTTTAGGGAATTAAATTTCTTAAAGCAAATTATTAAAAGACAATTTAATGGATTCTTCTAAAAAGAAGTAGCAAAAGCTTTTTTGAATGACCTTAGCCCTGAAGGTTCAAAATGCCTGCATAGTGTTTAACTATTCCAAAGTTAATAAACATGAGATGATGAGAACAAGAGTTGTCTTTTTTATAACAATATTATGTTTGTGTTTACAACTAGTGTAAATATGTGGGAATAATTAGGCATTATTGAACAACTAATACTTATGTACATTTGAGTGGCTCCTAACAAGTATATAAATAGCACTATAGATATATTATTCAACTTGGTTTGTTTTATGTTTTTTTAACTTAAACAATATTATTCATACTCTCTTATGAGTAAGTTTTCTCTTTAAGCACCACAAAATTAATATTACGTAGATAAGCTGCATTTCCCCCATATTGTTAAGTAAGGAATTTTGTGTAGGCTCATCTGATCTTCTATTCTAGTCTTTAACACTCTTTCAAGTTACTTTGACAATGTTTCTGTGCCAGTACATGTGACAGACAAAATTGAAGTTCAACTCCCAGCCTTGAGTTGATTAAATAAGCTTGTTCAGTTGTAAGTAAGAGCATTTTGATGTACAGATGTGAAAAAGAAAAAAGGAAAAAGAAAAGAATCAAGAGAAAGCCAAAGAGTTTTTGTTTTGTTTTCTTTATTTTTTAGCACAATGAGTGTAATCTCTTACAGACATGCTGAATCTCAAATAGTTCATGATGCTGTGGAGAAGGCAGAGAGATGAGAATTAAGAAACCAAAAGGCAAATTGTTTTGTAAGAAAGTTTTCTTAGTATCTATCTCTGAGACATCTAGTACTACTTTCTCCTATAGTCCAATAAACCATACATTCCTGCTTTCTAGTAACGTATCCATTTGGTTGTAGTAGTTTCAGTGACAGTTGTCCAAATGAACAGAAAAGAGATAGTAGCCAGCACAATCATAAGAAAGAGAAAGGACAATGATGCATGTTTCTTCCATAAATTGAGACAATATAATTTATTTTAATTTTCCAAAGTGCTTTTTAAAATATTTTAATTGATAATAATTAGATACAACACTGTCAACTTGACCACTACAAGGCCATTTGATAGCCCATGCCAGGCAAAAGTACAACTGATTTGTCATTATTCACAACTTAAACCTTAAGTATACAACAGGCAGAATAAATGCCACTGTTTCTTTATGCTTAAAAGAGCTACAATCTTCAAGCAGTAGTGAGTAGCTGTGTATCTTTTTTCTAGTGTTCTTTTTGTATCCAGAGAACAAACTTCAGACACAGTATTTCCAAAAGCAGGCTAAAAGAGAAAGCAAAACAAATTCTTTATTAAGAGGATATTTGATGCAATATTACATTTCAATAAAATAGGTTATGTGTGCCTCAGTATGAGAAAGAGAGTTTTGTAAAAGGAATGTTCTATATGGTTGTTATTAGCCTCATGTGAATCTGCAAATTAATTAAAATTAAATAAAATTTGAAAATTCAGCTTCTCCATCACACTAACCACATTTAGAGTACTCAGTAGTGACTTGTAGCCAGTGACTACCATAATGGGCACTGCATTAGAGAATGGTCACATCATCACAGAAAGTTCTATTGGATAGCACTGTTCTACATGATAATGCATGTAATACGGTTCAGAGATTACAGTAGGTCATCCTATTAGATACATCCCTCTGTTTTATATTTGGGGTAACTGAAATCTCAAAGAGGAAGTCACGTGAGTAAAAACTATGATAAATATGTTTCAATTTACTGGGGGGAAGGAAGGAAGAGAGTTTAAAGTTCACTTTGCAGATCACCAAATGTTATTTAAGCAATTTAATTGTCACATTGAGTCTTCACATTCTGATCATAAAAATGATGCTTAAGGAAAATCAGACCAATTCGAACAGTATTTTAATTCTGAGAAACAAACTGAGGGTTTTAGAGGGGAGGGAGGTGGGCAGATGGGAATGGGAGGGGGGTACCCGGTGATGGGTATTAAGGAGGGCACGTACTGCATGGAGCACTGGGTGTTACAGGAAAACAAATCACTACATCAAAAACATAACATAATAAAATTATATTAAATTAAAAAAATAAAAATAAAAAGCAGTATTTTAATCTTCAAATGCACTAATGAGTCATTTTAAATCTTCTGTAGGTTGTTCCCAATCACCTGACTTATAGTAGCTTCATAGACTAATTATAAATTTCTCTAATTTCCTTCAATCTAAATGGTTTATAAAATTAAGACCTCAGGGAGACAGGTCTTTGATTCACAATTGATGAATGGGATGCCCAATGAAAAAGAGTTAAAAAAGATACTCTTTGAAATACTATTTGAAATAAATGATGGAAATCTGTCTGCTTGCCAGGTTTCCCTTCATCTCTATTCACTCTCTAACCTGGAACCCTCAAGTTCATCACCACCTACACACACAGTGTTATGGCAGCACTCAGAGTCTACTTTTCATTTCTACAAGAGCCACAGCTTCCTTTAAATGAACCCACATTCAAATCCTATG